CCCAGCAGGTTGGGGCTGATGGTCTGGTTGTAGGAGAGGTTCTGGCACATGGGGATGGTGATCGGCTCACAGACCCCCCCACTGCTGCCCACTCCATACTGCAGCAAGAGAAGAAGAGTGCACACATCCTTTACTCAAGTAGAAGTACAGATACTCGTGTTTAAAATACTCTGGTAAAAGTAGAAGTACTGACTAAACTTCTTTACTCAAGTAAAAGTAAAGAAGTTTGGGCTTCGAAATGTACTTAAGTAAAAAGTACCCATAACTACCATCTGTTTTTTTTAAAGCCATAAATGCTCAAAAGTGTCCTGATGTTAGTTGGTGATTTTACAATAAAAATGTGTTTTCTAAAATCAAGTTAGATTAATTTCCTGAAACAAGATGATCCTTCTTTTACGAATACCACAGCAGCTAAAAAAACATCTGAGATACAAGACTCTATATCTCCCTGCATTGTTACTTCTTAAGTTATTAGGTCTTATATCAAGTGTGAGGACATATTCTGACTGGAAATCAGACACTTATATCTGTCCTCAGAGAGCAGACTCACGTGTTCGCAGGACTCGGTGGTAAAGGCTTCACACCTGAGGGCTGTTGGCCACGCAAAACCAAACTTTTTCATCAGAGGTTCGCAGCTGGAGCGTGCGTGTTCACAGAGCGTCCTGCAGGGGGGCCGCGGCGTCCCCACCACACACTCAGGGGCGTAGACGGAGCACAGGAAGGGCTGGAGGTGAGGGGAGCAGCTCACTTTAACCAGAGGAAAAAACTGATGCACCTCCAGGCCGGCCTCCTCCTGAGAGACGTGGCCCAGGAGGTTCGGCAGCACAGTCTGAGAGTAGGGAAGGTTTCTGCACAGAGGGATGGTGATGTCCTCACATGATGCAGACGATGGTTGAGGGAAACCTTGAATCTGAAAGAATGGAGATACAAAAATACGTGAAAAATGTAGTACAACACTACACACTGATATACACCTGACCTGAACATCAGCAGGAGAGGACTCTTTAAAGTAGAGACACTACATACTGATATACACCTGAACATCAGCAGGAGAGGACTCTTTAAATAGAGACACTACATACTGATATACACCTGACCTGAACATCAGCAGGAGAGGACTCTTTAAATAGAGACACTACATACTGATATACACCTGAACATCAGCAGGAGAGGACTCTTTAAAGTAGAGACACTACACACTGATATACACCTGAACATCAGCAGGAGAGGACTCTTTAAAGTAGAGACACTACACACTGATATACACCTGAACATCAGCAGGAGAGGACTCTTTAAAGTAGAGACACTACATACTGATATACACCTGAACATCAGCAGGAGAGGACTCTTTAAAGGAGAGACACTACATACTGATATACACCTGAACATCATTAGGAGAGGACTCTTTAAAGTAGAGACACTACATACTGATATACACCTGAACATCAGCAGGAGAGGACTCTTTAAAGTAGAGACACTACATACTGATATACACCTGAACATCAGCAGGAGAGGACTCTTTAAAGTAGAGACACTACATACTGATATACACCTGAACATCAGCAGGAGAGGACTCTTTAAAGTAGAGACACTACACACTGATATACACCTGAACATCAGCAGGAGAGGACTCTTTAAAGTAGAGACACTACATACTGATATACACCTGAACATCAGCAGGAGAGGACTCTTTAAAGTAGAGACACTACATACTGATATACACCTGAACATCAGCAGGAGAGGACTCTTTAAAGTAGAGACACTACATACTGATATACACCTGAACATCAGCAGGAGAGGACTCTTTAAAGTAGAGACACTACACACTGATATACACCTGAACATCAGCAGGAGAGGACTCTTTAAAGTAGAGACACTACATACTGATATACACCTGAACATCAGCAGGAGAGGACTCTTTAAAGTAGAGACACTACATGCTGATATACACCTGAACATCAGCAGGAGAGGACTCTTTAAAGTAGAGACACTACATACTGATATACACCTGAACATCAGCAGGAGAGGACTCTTTAAAGTAGAGACACTACATACTGATATACACCTGCACATCAGCAGGAGAGAACTCTTTAAAGTAGAGACACTACATACTGATATACACCTGAACATCAGCAGGAGAGGACTCTTTAAAGTAGAGACACTACATACTGATATACACCTGAACATCAGCAGGAGAGGACTCTTTAAAGAAGAGACACTACATACTGATATACACCTGAACATCAGCAGGAGAGGACTCTTTAAAGTAGAGACACTACTACACACTGATATACACCTGAACATCAGCAGGAGAGGACTCTTTAAAGTAGAGACACTACATACTGATATACACCTGAACATCAGCAGGAGAGGACTCTTTAAAGTAGAGACACTACACACTGATATACACCTGAACATCAGCAGGAGAGGACTCTTTAAAGTAGAGATACTACATACTGATATACACCTGAACATCAGCAGGAGAGGACTCTTTAAAGTAGAGACACTACATGCTGATATACACCTGAACATCAGCAGGAGAGGACTCTTTAAAGTAGAGACACTACATGCTGATATACACCTGAACATCAGCAGGAGAGGACTCTTTAAAGTAGAGACACTACATTCTGATATACACCTGAACATCAGCAGGAGAGGACTCTTTAAAGTAGAGACACTACATGCTGATATTCACCTGAACATCAGCAGGACAGGACTCTTTAAAGTAGAGACACTACATGCTGATATACACCTGAACATCAGCAGGAGAGGACTCTTTAAAGTAGAGACACTACATTCTGATATACGATGGAGGTGTGTGGTGCAGTGGGTTGTGAGTTGGTATTCGGATGTCACAGGTTCAAACCCCACTGCAGTCAGCATGTCGTTGTGTCCCTGAGATACTTCACCCCAAATTGCTCCTGTGGGGATTGCCCACAGTATTGAGTATGTAAGTCGCTTTGGATAAAAGCATCTAACAAGTGACATGTAATGTAATGTAATGACTCTTTAAAGTAGAGACACTACATACACACCTGAACATCAGCAGGAGAGGACTCTTTAAAGTAGAGACACTACATACTGATATGAACCTGAAAGTAGAAAACGAGGAAGAGGAGACTTACGTTCTCGCAGCTCTCGGTGGTGAAGGCTTCACATCGCAGGGCTTCTGGCCACAGGATGTTGTATTTGTTCATCAGGGATTCACAGCCCGACCTGGCCTTCTCGCAGAGCGTCCTGCAGGGAGGCCGACGAGCTCCAGACACACACTTCGGAGTGTAGACGGAGCACAGGAAAGGCTTCAGGTGAGAGGAGCAGCCCACTTGGATGAGAGGGGAATACTTGTTTATCTCCAGGCCGGCCTCCTCCTGAGAGGCGTGGCCCAGGAGGTTCGGCAGCACAGTCTCGGTGTACGTCTGGTCCCGGCACAGAGCCACGCTGATCTCCTCACATGTAGGCAACGATGTTTGAGCGGGGCTGGAGACCTGACCCTACAGGAACAGAAACAAATCAGCGCTGTCCATAAAACCACTTCAAAGGTTTTATTGTCATATGCACATAAGCTACAGTGTAGATATGTCAATGGAAATCTTAGGTCACAGGCTCCTCCAACAGTGCAACATGAATATATAGGACAGGAGTACTCAAATGTTTTTGTTAAAGGTCCACTTGTGAATTTTATACAAGGTCAATGGTCCTGGTCATCAATGCCAGTATCCCAAATCTTTTAAAATCAGGGGTACAACGAGCGGATACAGATTTGCTGCCGATCTGACGTCAAATCGGCAGCGAACCCACAGAAAGTTGCTATCAGAAACAATGCCTGACGTGTTTTGGACGTAATCTCGTCTTTGTTTACATTAGCCAGCCCCGCTAACACTCAGAGCTAACCTGTACTGGAGAGCACATGTGTTTAAAAAGTAGGAAATATAAAAATAACTCACCTTGTGATAAACCCGCAAGAGAAAAAGCATTTGAGCTCCATACTGTTTCAGAAATAATCTTTGATGTGGTTTAGAACAGGATGGCGTTTTATCACAGCAGAATGTAACTTTATCACCGGTAGAATTCTGATCAGGCATTAGCTCCGCCTCCTCCTTTTTTATTTTCAAGCTAAGGACCCAAAATCCGTGTTTCTCTAACAGGGCTGCAATAGAGGGGTATGAGCAGTATGAGGCATGAGGCGCGTTCACACCGCAGTACTTTTCCCACTTTAGTTCCGATATAGTTCCGAAATGTTGCGTTCACACCAAAAAGAGCCGGAACTCAAATTAGTTCATGAGAACCTTTTCACCCCCTTTTCAGTCCCTGCTAGAGAGCAGGGACTTTCGTGGGAGAACAAGGTTCCTGTGTCTGATTGGCTGGGCGGATTGCAAACCACGCCCCGTAAAACTCCCAAAAAGTTTTGTGAAGCTGCCATTTTATTATCCTCACATTAGCATTATTAGCATTAGCATTATTAGCATTATTAGCATTAGCCCAGCGCAGAAACGCAGAGAGACTAACTTATGGCAACACAAAATAAAACATGGGAGCGGTGGAGATGAGGAGGTGTCGGCGTTCTGCCGATTATGGAAGGCTTCAGTAGAAGCTGCTGGGAGTCCCAGCAGCTTCTACTGAAGCCAGTCCCCAACTCCGGGGACTTCCGGCCGGGGACTTTGGGCGGCAGTATACGCCTTGAAGTGGTTTGCAGCCTGCCAGTAAACCCAAAGCAGAAGAAGAAGTGACGTCAGCGGCTTCATTTGCCTAATCCTCCCCCAGGGATTTATTCCGGTGTGAACGCGATCTGTAGCTACTTAGTTAATGAGAACAAAAGAGTTCTCATGAACGAAGTTCTGATTAACCTTTGTGGGAAAAGTACTGCGGTGTGAATGCGTCTATGGCTACAATGGGTGAACTGTTTGGTATTTTAAGCAAAAAACTTCACAGACATGTTTTGTATAGGTATGGCTCTACAATATATGTTTCCAATATAGCATGATAGGTCCACTTTAATTTACATCAAAATGAGTACTTTGTTTTATAATGGGACACAGGGTTCGGTCCGGATTGATTTGCAATTCGGTCCGGAGTTTGAGAAGCCCTGATATACGACATAGAACAAATAAAATAGAATATAAATAGTGCAAGAAGAGTCTATATAGAAGTACATGGAATATGATATAAGATGCAAACAGATGAATGTGTTCACACTGACCGGCGCACAGTTGTTCTCGGGCAGAGTGTCGCAGCGGAGCCTCGACGGCCAGCTGATCCTTTTGGCTTTCAGCGGAGCTTCACAGTCCGTCCTCACCTTCTCACACAGCGCTCGGCACGGCCTCATCCGAGCGTCGTCCTCCGAGCCGCACTCCGGCACCACGACCCGGCACATGAGCACGGCCACGTTCGGAGAGCACGAAGTCTCCACGATCTGACCGATCTCCCGCATGTTGTACCCCGTTGCTCCTGTAGGATGTTGGGTGGTGGAGTACCCTAAACCCTGACAAAAGGTGGAGGTCATGGGCTTGCAGTTTGTCCTGCTTTGTGCCCGCAGAGGAACCAGCAGCGAACCCAAAAACACTAAAAACAAACACTCCATGGCTCTCTGAAAGCTCTCAAAACTGTGCGCTGCTTCACAAAGACTTCAGAGGTTTAGTCGTTTCTTCTTCTCTGCTCAGGGGGTGGAGTAGGAGTCCACGAATGGAGTCTCTGCGCTGATTTAGGACCCCTGCTGAGCTCACAACTCAATGAGATGCCCCACACGTAATGAAAGCTAAACTGGTCTCAGAGCAGCGTTCTGGAGAACATCTGGTTGTGATCGAGTGCTTTCTGAGGAACCTGGGGGGCAATAAAGAGTTTCTGCATGGAAAGTATTTCAACACCAATAACATTGAGACATTCTGTGTAAAAATGTTGCAATACAAAAAAAAAGAACAGGGTGTCAAGTCCTCTCTGGTTTATATTTCCATAATAAAGACACTGTGTTGTTAACGTGTGTTTGTTTATCTTCTGCTCCACTGATCTTAGATTTGCCTTTTGTCCCTTCGATATACATTTCTCTGCAGTGCGATGAACAAAGGGTTTGAGATTTGACCGCAAACAGGACTAGCTGATTCTCTCATGCAGGCTGGTTCACTTTCTTCTTTTAAAGATACCAGATTTATGTTTTCGTTTAAGAAATAAGTCTGAGCTTTAAGTTGTGAGGACGCCTGAAGATAAAGGTTATTTGTTATTCTGCTTTTTGGGGTTTTCCCTCTCCTGTAGTGTTTTATAGGTTTTAGTGCATGTTAATGGTCTCCAAAGGCTAACATCTCCGTGTTTCCTCCAGAGGGAGGCCCAATCCCAAACCACTCCCTCGACCCTACCCCTCCGTGACGGAGTGAACTCCGTCTGTAGCCACACTCGCAGCTCAACGAGGCTCCCTCCTGTCAGATGGAGGGAGTAAACACAGCAGCAAGCTTTGGGACGGCCTCCCCTCTCTCCGGCAGAAACAGGAAATGCCGTAACTGTGTGTAACAACGGTTTTAGATCAGCATCTCTTAGACAAAATGTTTAAATTAATAACTCAAATAAAACTCCAAACATCTTTCATTGTGTTTCAAAGCTCTTTTAGTTTTAAACCTGATGTTTATAAGCTTCTTAGTTTTTGCAACGGTCTGTAAATATACACAACTTTATAATAAAATGCACACATTTACCTTTTTCTAGACTAAACACAGGTATGATCCTAAGTTAAAAACATATGAGGTTATCATGAGGTTGTTAACATCGCAGTTTATCAGTGGATGTTTGCTGGAACTACCTGTAAACAGCGTGTTTCCTGACGGACACACACAGCGTGACTCCGGTCAGGTAGAGACCGGTCTCCAGTCAGCACCGCTGCAGACTCGCTGTTTGAGGGCTTGATAGCCCACTCCCCCTCCACACTCGTTGCTTTGGAACAGCCCTCAATATGGCGGACCCTCCACGTGAACGCGCAAACGTAGGAGTAGGGTGTGGTTTGGGAATGGGCCGGAGTTTCTCTCCCAAACACTATGGAATAATCCTATTGGCTAGCGCTCCAACACATTGTACGTGATAGGCTAAGGGGCGGGACATCTCTAAGCGGTTGAACAATCACAACAGAGCCGGCCAGCTAACCAATCAGAGCAGACTGGGCTCTGGTTTCAGACAGAGGGTGAAAAGAGGTGCTGCAGCACAGGCAGCATGAGAACAATAAAGAGCTTTTTGAGCTTTGAAGCATGGAGACATTCACAGTAGAGACATAGGCAAATGAAACTTGAAAATGTGCATAACAGGGCCAGTTTAATTGGAAAAACAGAGGCTAAAATATAAAAACAGTAAGACTTCGGGTTTGGGTTTAAAAGAGAACTAGACTTTTTTGTAATCTTGAGTTCATTATCAGAAAGTAAGCGTGACTTTTCCCAACAAAGAGAAACGTATACAGTTTGTTAGGATTTCCTTTTTGCTCCTCCATGTCCTCGAGCCTTCAGAGCCACCAGCACAAAGTTTCTGGGAGAAAGGTTTGGGTCGAAGAGAGGAACCAGCCGACTGTCCACATCTGCAGGAAGAGGAAGATTCAGTTATTAAAATGCAAATACAAATAGATAAAGGGCCTGTATTGAAATAATTAAACCTTTTCAGAAAGCGCTGGCAACGACACTGTATAAAATGTTATCCTGTAGTGCCTTTATAGCCCAATATTAGCCACATTTAGCTTAGCGGTGGTGACGTGAAGTCATGTGACCGTGCTGTAGTTCCTTTATAGCCCAACATTAGCCTCTTTTAGCTTAGCGGTGGTGACGTGAAGTCATGTGACCGTCCTGTAGTTCCTTTATAGCCAAACATTAGCCTCCTTTAGCTTAGCGGTGGTGATGTGAAGTCATGTGACCGTGCTGTAGTTCCTTTATAGCCCAACATTAGCCACCTTTAGCTTAGCGGCGGTGACTGTGAAGTCATGTGACCGTGCTGTAGTTCCTTTATAACCCAACATTAGCCTCCTTTAGCTTAGCGGTGGTGACGTGAAGTCATGTGACCGTCCTGTAGTTCCTTTCTAGCCCAACATTAGCCTCCTTTAGCTTAGCGGTGGTGACGTGAAGTCATGTGACCGTCCTGTAGTTCCTTTATAGCCTAACGTTAGATTTTTACTTCAGAAATCATAAAGTGGTGTTAATATGTGGAGATTATCCTGCTGAACTAAATGTGTTAGAATCATAAACGTTTTGTTTGACAGAGATAATTTTCTGCAAAAATCACATGGAGAAATCCCTTTGGCTTTTATTTGTGGAAGGAACCAGGAAGTGCTTTTCTTGATGAAACGCTGGGATGAATCTCTCTTTAGTGCCTTGCTTCCTCCATAAAGAACTCTATGAGCAGACATCAGCCTTAGAGCAGTCCTCACCGTTCTCCTGCAGGTAGATGATGCGGTCCAGCAGCACCAGCGTCTCCACCACCGGAGCCAGCAGCAGGGCGAGGCTGAAGAACACCACCACCCGGCCCTGCTGCTCCAACATGGCCTCTACCCGCCCCCCGTCCAGAGGCAGGTCTGGGGGCAGGCCGACCCGCGCCAGGCCCAGACAGGCGTACCTGAGGGGGACATTAAAGATCTCCTATCATGCTATCTTTAGGCATATATTATGGGTCTCAGATATATACAAATATATAAAAAACATGTCTATGATGTGTTTTGCTCGAAATACCAAACAGATCATGCATTTTAGACATCCCTCAAAATCCCTCTATTCCAGCCCGGTTAGAGAAGTGCTGATTCTGGGTCAGTAGCTGCTGGCCCCGCCCCCTTTTGAGCACGCAGGCAAGCAGTGAAGACTGGCTGCTCTGCTCAGACACAGCTAAATGCTGCCATGATTAAACGCCATATCATGTTCCAAACCACTTCAAGGATTCTCTCTGAAACACTATGGAGCTCAAACTCTTTCTCAGGTTTACCACAAGGTGAGTTCCTTTTTTTATTTCCTGCTTCTTTACACAAACTCTCTCCAGTACAGGTTAGCTCTGAGTGTTAGCGATGCTAATGTAAACACAGACCATATTACGTCCAAAACACGTCGGGCATTGTTTCTGATAGCAACTTTCTGATAGGCCCGTGGGTCTAAAGCCCGCCCACATTTCAGATATTACGTCATATCGGACGCAAATCTGGATCAGCTCCGTTGTTCCACCGTTTTTAGAGATTTGGGTACGGAGGGTTTTATTTTCTGATAGGAGACCTTTAAATCTCAGATAGTGTCCTTGAATCATTGCTGACTAAGGAGGATTGATATTGTTAAGATCTTAACATAGTAAACACGTGTGTGTGCGTCTCCTCACTCAGCAAACGTCAGCAGGTGGGATTTCTTCACGGTCTGGACCCCCGCTCTGCGCAGCTCGGGCCTCTGCTCCCTGATGAAGGTCTCCAGCGTGGCTCTGTAACAGTGCGTCCTCAGCAGCTGGCTTTCCTCCCAAAGCCTCCGCCTGTAGTCCTCCAGCGCGTGACAGGCCGCCTCCCGGGCCTTGTAGGACAGCTGGTGTCCCGGCAGCCCCCCCACCCAGGAGCTCATGGGGTATCCGAACTCTGAGGGTTGCAGCATCGCCTCCTGGAGCCTCTGGACACAGGAAACAGGAAACACATCAGTTCACCCTTTTTTACCGGCAGAGGAAAACTGTTGTGAAAACACTGAATGTCCTCTTCCAACATGAGAGTAACATGATAACAAAGGTATCCCAACTGTAGCTGTGAACATGACAGGATGTGTGATTACCTAGAAGAGCATCAGGACTGTTTGAGGCATATGATAGCTATGTGATTAACATGATGATTCAGCCTCTATGGAGAGAGACATCAAGCATGCTCATTTCTGACGTGGAGCTAATCTGAAGTAAACATTGAATACTGCTTTGAACCGGTATTCCTTCCTCGACCCTTTTTTATCGGCAGAGCGGAGGAATGTGGTTAATGTGGGAACATCACAACAGACAAAGCAACAACTGAAAGGTCACCTATTACGCAAAATCCACTTCTCCATGTCTCTTCTACATCAACATATGTCCCCTCTTCTTCATGTCTCTTCTACATCAACATGTGTCCCCTCTTCTTCATGTCTCTTCTACATCAACATGTGTCCCCTCTTCTTCATGTCTCTTCTACATCAACATCTGTCCCTTCTTCTTCATGTCTCTTCTACATCAACATGTGTCCCCTCTTCTTCATGTCTCTTCTACATCAACATGTGTCCCCTCTTCTTCATGTCTCTTCTACATCAACATGTGTCCCCTCTTCTTCATGTCTCTTCTACATCAACATGTTTCCCCTCTTCTTCATGTCTCTTCTACATCAACATGTGTCCCTTCTTCTTCATGTATCTTCTACATCAACATGTGTCCCCTCTTCTCCATGTCTCTTCTACATCAACATCTGTCCCTTCTTCTTCATGTCTCTTCTACATCAACATGTGTCCCCTCTTCTTCATGTCTCTTCTACATCAACATGTGTCCCCTCTTCTTCATGTCTCTTCTACATCAACATGTGTCCCCTCTTCTTCATGTCTCTTCTACATCAACATGTGTCCCCTCTTCTTCATGTCTCTTCTACATCAACATGTGTCCCCTCTTCTTCATGTCTCTTCTACATCAACATGTGTCCCCTCTTCTCCATGTCTCTTCTACATCAACATGTGTCCCCTCTTCTCCATGTCTCTTCTACATCAACATGTGTCCCTCTTCTTCATGTCTCTTCTACATCAACATCTGTCCCTTCTTCTTCATGTCTCTTCTACATCAACATGTGTCCCCTCTTCTTCATGTCTCTTCTACATCAACATGTGTCCCCTCTTCTCCATGTCTCTTCTACATCAACATGTGTCCCCTCTTCTCCATGTCTCTTCTACATCAACATGTGTCCCCTCTTCACCAACATGTGTCCCCTCTTCTCCATGTCTCTTCTACATCAACATGTGTCCCCTCTTCTCCATGTCTCTTCTACATCAACATGTGTCCCCTCTTCTTCATGTCTCTTCTACATCAACATGTGTCCCCTCTTCTCCATGTCTCTTCTACATCAACCTGTGTCCCCTCTTCTTCATGTCTCTTCTACATCAACATGTGTCCCCTCTGTGTAAAGAGGGGACACATGTTGATGTAGAAGTTTCAGGAACAAAGATTCTCTCTCTTTTTGATCAATTTCTATAAAAACCTGTCTGAAAATGAGCTGATCAGATTTTGGCCACTTTGTGATGTCATAACGATGTTTTGTCTTGTGTAAACATTGGCCAATCAGCAACCAAGGTAACCCCCCCCCTTATCACCTGAATCTCCTCTAGAGCACCATTGAGTTCTTTGTAACCAAATGTCTTTGGAAACAGGGCTGAAACAGAGGGGATTATGGGTAATGCTGCAATGATCTGTTTGGTGTTTCAGCCAATCAGAGACAGGCTCTGGATATATCTGAGACCTGTGATATATTGATTAAGAACAGTATATAGGGGACCTTTAAACATGAGTACAGTGTGTGTTTTATTCTCTGCCTCAGAGCTACATTGTTGACCAGCAGTGATGTAAAGTAACTAAGTAGATATACTCAAATGCTTTGTACTTCGCCTGCGGGGTGAGGAGCCGCTATCAGACCCGGGGGGGACGGGTGCTCCCTGGTGGAGATCTTCATGTAGCAGCAGGCCACCGAGGTGATGCCGCGCACATGTGGGCAGCTGATGAAGTGCCGGAGGAGGGTGGAGCTGAGGTCTCCGCAGGCGTGGAGCCCCGTGAGGACGAAGTCTGGACGGAGCATTTCCCCAGGAGGTCGAACCCCCTCCTGGACACACGCGCACCTGGAGGCCTCGTCTTCAGAATCCTTTTCACTGAGCTGGTGCTGTGACGTTGATAAAGTCTCTTCTTCGGAGCCTCTCGGTCTCTTTTTACAGGGTCCAGATGGAGTTTGGGGTCCAGATGGAGTTTGGGGTCCAGATGGAGTTTGGGGTCCAGATGGAGTTTGGAGTCCAGATGGAGTTTGGGGTCCAGATGGAGTTTGGGGTCCAGATGGAGTTTGGAGTCCAGATGGAGTTTGGAGTCCAGATGGAGTTTGGAGTCCAGATGAAGTTTGGGGTCCAGATGGAGTTTGGAGTCCAGATGGAGTTTGGGGTCCAGATGGAGTTTGGGGTCCAGATGGAGTTTGGAGTCCAGATGGAGTTTGGGGTCCAGATGGAGTTTGGAGTCCAGATGGAGTTTGGAGTCCAGATGGAGTTTGGAGTCCAGATGGAGTTTGGGGTCTAGATGGAGTTTGGAGTCCAGATGGAGTTTGGAGTCCAGATGGAGTTTGGGGTCCAGATGGAGTTTGGGGTCCTTCTGCACCGCTCAGCTGTTCGATGAAGGACTCCCATGATGCCTTGGGGTTTACCCACCCGGCCACATGTCGAGGCTGAGATACTGGGAGCAGAGAGGAGCCGCTCTAAGAAAAGAGACAGATGTGTATTGGTACATTTCGGTGCCGAGGTGTTGATGTCTAGCAGGAGATACAGTGGTTTGGAAAAGTATTCAACCGCCTCGTAAATGATCAGATTTCTCTGCATTTCAAATGATGCATTAAGAGTGTGTTCTATTTCACATTTTACTTACAAAGAGGGTCATTAGTTTTATGTGAGAAACATGTTGTAGAAAAAGTATATAATATATTGCATAAGTATTCAACCCCTGTGAGACAAATGAAAATGATTGCAATTTTGATGTTTTACGTTCTTAAGTTGAAGACAAAAGGTGGTCGAACATTAAAGTGTAGGGGTTTGAATACGAACTTAAATGGCAAATAGACAAGAATCAAAATCTAACCATGACACCACAAACAAAGCACCTCTCAATCGTATCCTTTGCTTATGGACTAAATGTAACACCTACCTCTTTCTGCTTCTCCCTCTCTTTTTCCAAGACCCCCAGCAGCTCTCCGTCGAACTTGGTTGCCATGGCGAGCAGCACGCGATCCGCCTCGATGGCGGTCACAGTGAGTCCGAGCCCGAAGGACAGGAAACGCGTCAGGTGACCCTGAGTGGAGGAAACCTCTCAGTGGTTAAAGTGGGAGCATCACAACAGACAGAGCAACGATTTAAACACGAGTATAGTGTGTGTGTCGGATGTTTTATTCTCTGCCTCAGAGCTGCATTGTTGACCAGCAGTGGTGTAAAGTAACTAAGTAGATATACTCAAATATTGTGTACTTCTACTCCACTACAGTTCAGAGCTACATGGTGTACTTTTCCTCCACTACATGTATTTAATACCTTTAGTTACTTTACAGATGTGGATGACTGATGTGAAATATAATCAAGTGTTGAATCAGACTTTAGTTCCACCTGGAGTAAATCCACAAGCTACACTGCAGTATACAAAGTACTTCAAACTAGCTGCACCTTCACCAGCTTTGAGAACACTTTAATGATCAATCATTATAAAACATATCATATATATTATTCTGAAATGGACCAATCTGCACAAAGACTACTTTTACTGTCGCTACTTTCACTATATTTTGATGAGAATACTTTTCTACTTTCACTTGAGGAACATTTTGAATGCAGGACTTTTACTGAAACAGAGTATTCCTACACTCTGGTACTTCTACTTTTACTGAAGTACAAGATCTGAGTACTTCTACTTTTACTCAAGTACAAGATCTGAGTACTTCTACTTTTACTCAAGTACAAGATCTGAGTACTTCTACTTTTACTCAAGTAGAATATCTGAGTACTTCTACTTTTACTCAAGTACAATATCTGAGTACTTCTATTTTTACTAAAGTACAGGATCTGAGTACTTCTACTTTTACTGAAGTACAGGATCTGAGTACTTCTACTTTTACTCAAGTATAAGATCTGAGTCGTTTCCCCTCTCTGTTTCCAGAAAGTCATTGTAACACCAAATTATTTTTGGAAAACTGTTAATAAAGATCAAAAATAATGTTATAATAATGCTTTTATAAATACGACATCGTATTACAGTATTTGTACTGCAGGGGACAAGCCCAAATATTGCTGAATAAACAAACCAGAAACAGGGTGATAGTGATCAAATCAGATGATACCTGTCCTGAGCCCACATCCACCACACTGCTGCAGTCAGTCTGGTCACACAGTTCTTTCACCAGCTGGAATACACAAAACGCAACAGATTAAAAAACACTATTCACAGAGACCAATACTGGAGCGATAGCAGCATTAGCCCCTCGTACCGCGCCCAGCTTGCGGATCTCGTGCTGTTTCTTGGGTTTGACGTGTTTCCTGAAGATGTGTCGCAGCAGAGAGCTCTGACTCTCGTTGTTCTGAAACTCCTCGGTCCCCCCGCCGCCCTCCCTGCTCTCTCTGGGAAACGCCAGAGCCTGAGCAGTGGCTCGAAACGCCAACAGAGACAGAGGCCACACCGAGGGATATCTGCAACCACAAACACTGCAGGGTTATTATTTAAATCACAACTCTGGCAGTATATATATATACACATACACAATATATATATATATATATATATATATATATATATATACATACACAAGTACAACTGCATGCACCTGCATAAAGACATGTATTTGCATTTTATTTGATTAAAGAGGAAATATTCTGCTGATGTTCAGGTTCATATGTGTCTCTACTGTGACATGTCTCCATGCTTTAATGTTCAAAAAGCTCTTTATTCTTCTCATACTGTCTGTGCTGCAGCACCTCTGTCTGAAACCAGAGCCCAGTCTGGGCAGTCATTGGTTAGCTAGCCGGCTCTGTTGTGATTGGTCAACAGCTTAGAGATGTCCCGCCCCTTAGCCTATCACAATGTGTTGGAGTTGGAGCTAGCCAATAGAAGCGCTCAAAAAAGACAAAAGAGAATAAAGAAATAAAATAAAATAACACTACAGGAAGTGAAAATTGGGATTTCTTTAACTTGCATCTACTGTACAGAGCTTTGTGAATTGAATCCGTCTTTTGTTGAATTTGTGTTTTTTGAGCATGTATTTTGGGCCCCTGTACAGTGGCGGCTGGTGGAAAATATTTTTGGGAGAAATGACCCCTTAAATTAGGACTTCTGGTGATGTAATGGCGCGTTTCCAGTGCAGCGCGGAGCTCGCTTTATGCTGCGTTCAGACCAGTCTATGGTTCAGACCAATCTATGGTTCAGACTGGACGCGATGCGAATATTCGCTTCGCTCTAATGCTGCGTTCAGACCGGACGCGATGCGAATATTCGCTTCGCTCTAAACGCTCCTATCGCATCGCTCTAGTCGCTCTAGTTTCACCGCGGCTGCCAGCTGTGTTTACTCGCATCATTCAAACAAGACGCGCTCGGGAGCTACAACTACAACAAAATGAACATATTTTACCGTGATTAAATTGTAATACACGTTTCTAAATGATGCCGACGTAACAACATACTGATACCGGTTAGTAAAAACCATGAATTAATGCTTTGTCAAGTCTGCAGACAGACGGCAGGCGAAAAACCTTTTAGAATGCTTGTTTTCCGAATGGAGATTGGGTCGACCAGGCTAATGCTACGTTCACACCAGACGCGATGCGAATATTCGCTTCGCTCTAAACGCTCCTATCGCATCGCTCTAGTCGCTCGAGTTTCACCGCGGCTGCCAGCTGTGTTTACTCGCATCATTCAAACAAGACGCGCTCGGGAGCTACAACTACAATAAAATGAACATATTTTACCGTGATTAAATTGTAATACACGTTTCTAAATGATGCCGACGTAACAACATACTGATACCGGTTAGTAAAAACCATGAATTAATGCTTGACAAGTCTGCAGACAAGACGGCAGGCGAAAAACCTTTTAAAATGCTTGTTTTCTGAATGGAGATTGGGTCGACCAGGCTAAGCTAACGTTGTATATGCTCACGCCACACTCATAACAACGGCCTACAGACATAAATAAACCAGCGACTGTATTCGCCATGACACAGACAGTCTGTGGTTTGTTCTTGTTTAACTTTTGTACAGTTTCTGAACAGATATGAGGAGCTGTGAGCTCTGTGTGCTAACTGCTAACAGCTAATGGCTGATGTTTTCTGGTTGAACGTCAGTGACGGCAGGCTGAGATCCTCACCGCTGATTGGCTTCCGCGAGAACGCGTCACGTGAATTTGACGCCCGAGTTGAAAAAATTGAACTCTCGCGTTTGACGCGGCCCCCTTCAATCGCCTCAATCGCGTGATTCGCGCCGCGTCCACCGCTTCATGCGCGCCGTCGGAGCGAATTCGCGTCTGATCGTGTCTCTGCATTGACTTTACATGTAATCGCGCCGCCCCCAAACGTCGCATCGCGTCCGGTGTGAACGCAGCATAAGCTAACGTTGTATATGCTCACTCCACACTCATAACAACGGCCTACAGACATAAATAAACCAGCGACTGTATTCGCCATGACACAGACAGTGCCGAGCCGTGCGGGGCCCGTTTTTGGTTGCGTTTCCACTTGGCCTAGTACAAGTGGAAACGCAGTAGTCATTGTGCAGATGCACCTCCTGTCTGCGTGTGAAGCGCCCAGTAACAGGTCAGCGATCTGTGGGTACTTCAGGTCCCGCAGCACGACCCTCCAGCTGCTGGGCAACGAGCTCCACAGATCCTCAGTGAAGAACTCCTGCAGGGAATCAGAATCATGTTTATCACCAGGTAGGTTGACACGTGCGAGGGATTTGGCTTGATGTCAAGGTGCATACATAAAAGTTCAACACAAATTAAAAACATTTCACAATCATATTTATAATTTTACTTTATATTTTTATGTCTGTATACATGTTTTTGTCTTTTTATTAAAACATTTTAGTTTTACTTGCAACAGAGTATTCTTACATTCTACTTTTACTCAAGTACAATATCTGAGTACTTCTCCCACCTCTGGTAGTAGCCACGGTGAAGAGCTGTATAATGAAGTTATGAGACATTTGAGCCATTTTTCCAGATGCATGTGTTTTTTTATTAGATTTCTTGTGTGTTAGTGGTTACCAGTCACTTAACAATACCTTGATCATAGTATCTTTGCCACACACCAACAACAACAAAGCTAAAGTCATGTCATGCATCAGTACTCACGATGATATATGAGTCGGACAGGTGGCTGTACATGGACAGGAACGTGGTGATTCTTGTGGCCAGATCTCTCTGTTGTTCTGCAGAAAGGCTTGATGTAACCATCTCCCCATGCTGAGCAGCTGAAGGTAGATTCACTGACATGGGGCTTAAAGGCCAGCTAATGCTAACACAAGTTGTCTTATTAACCCTGCCTTGTTTGACCAATTAAGAATACGTGTTTCTAAAAAATATTGGGTACTTTAAATCGGCAGTTATAAAGCAAATCCAGCACAAATAAGGCTTGTTGTGGTTAGCCACTTGATAGCTAGCATTGATGTACAATTCACATGCACGATGCATTCAGGTGCGTCCGGTAATTCCTTCAGGCAGGTTGGGCGCTCGAACAGTATCAGAAAAATAAATACTTTATTAATTTCCAGGGGGATTTGGATTTTCGAAAGTTGCTTTACTGTAATGAATTCAGTTATTAAGATAAGTTTAAGTAAAAAAATCGTGTATTATACTACAGTATATAACAACTAATGATATATTCATGTGTGCACTGCTAATACCATACAGGCAAAAGTAACTATTTGTTCCAACTTTCTGTCTGTCCGTGAAGGTAATATGACCCGGATGTTGAACGTTTGTTGTGAGCAGGAAGAATATCGAGGGTCGACAGATTGCTGCAGGTCTGCTTTAACACTTTTAAAGTGATTTTAATATATGTTATTGATGTGTATTGAATCAATATAGAACTGATTATGTCCACATACATTTATTGTTCAATTTTCCGCTGAGAAACAGTTATTTACAGGGACTTAGACACGGAGTTAGCATAGTAACGTTTGTGAGCTAACGTTAAGCTAACGTCTAAAAGGATGTTGTTTATTTTTAAAATAAGAGCTTATTATGAGGAAATTCAGATCAACTCAGAGGAGGGAGGAGTACTCAGGTGTTGTACTTGAGTGACAGTAGAAGTACCAGTGTAGAAATACTCTTTGATAAGTAAAAGTAGAAGTATTCATATCTTGTACTTGAGTAAAAGTAGAAGTACTCAGATCTTGTACTTGAGTAACAGTAGAAGTATTCATATGTTGTATTTGAGAAAAAGTAGAAGTACTCAGATCTTGTACTTGAGAGTCAAATTAGAAGTATTCATATATTGTATTTGAGTAAAAGTAGAAGTACTCAGATCTTGTACTTGAGTGACAGTAGAAGTACCAGAGTGTAGGAATACTCTGTTACAGTAAAAGTCCTGTATTCAAAATGTTACTCAAGTAAAAGTAGAAAAGTATTCTCATCAAAATATAGTTAAAGTAGGGACAGTAAAAGTAGTCATTGTGCAGATTGGTCCATTTCAGAATAATATATATGATATGGTTTTGGAGTAGAAGTACAAATAAGCATACAATTGAAATACTCGGGTAAAGTACAAGTACCTCAGAATTGTTCTACAGTACTTGAGTAAATCGACCTAGTTACTTTTACCTACCCCATCACACTTACATTTTGTTTAATAAGAAAGCCAAATCTAATGAAAGATGTGCTGATGCATTCAAGGCCCCTAGTTCTTTCTGAACTTGCAGGTGGATGCACACCGGTTATATAAAATGTATGTTCTTAAAGTCCTGCAAATGAAGACGTGGTTTGATAAGGTCTCATTTCTCTCACAGGATGCTTTTTAACCGATGTGTCAGCTGATAAACGTTGCACTTACAAAGGTTGAAGACCCTTTGAGGTGGAGGTCAAAATAAGTACATCTGTACGATTGCTTTGAGGAGACATTATTTTGACCTCTGCTGGACTGCGACCAGAACCATGTCGAATATTCTGATCAACGTGAGCCTTTCTGACGAGCCTGCGCAGAAGAGGCCGCCGGCGGCAAACTGGAAAAACAAAAACAAGCGGTATCGTAAAAAGCCCCGTGAGTTTGAGCACAGGGCCTCCTCCTCTCTGGAAGGAAGGAATAATTACAACCACAGAACGGGACAAGTCCTGCCTCCACGGCAAAATGGAGCAAATCATTCAGCGCCTCCGACTTCCTCGAACAACACGACTTTACCGTCAAACTCACTCTGCAGCGCCTCGCCTTCAACGTCCGCTCAGTGCCAGGAAAAAACAAATGATTCTGGGAACAGAAAAGCATCGCCCCCCGTGCTCCAGCAGCCAGAAGCCCACCACCACTCAGTCCTCCTCCTCCTCCTCCTCCTCCTCCTCCTCCGCACCAGCAATGCCCACCAAGTTCCTGGCCATCGACTGTGAGATGGTGGGCACGGGGCCGAAGGGCAGCAACAGCCAGCTGGCCCGCTGCAGCCTGGTGTCGTACGACGGAGACGTGGTCTACGATAAGTTCATCAACCCCCCCGTGCCCATCACGGACTACCGGACCCGGTGGAGCGGCATCCGGCACCGAGACCTCGTCAACGCCACGCCTTACATCGAGGCCAGGAAGGAGGTGAGGAAATCCTCTGATGAGAAACAAATCTGAATTCCGACTTTTTTCTCAGACCTCACATGAAAAAAAATCACTTTTCTCATTCATATCATTTCATTCATATCAGTGTTCGAATACCCATCGTTCAGTATTTCAACATGTAGCATGCAGAGGTGGGAGGATTACAAAGCAGCAACACATTTAAATACTCAAGTAAAGTACCTCAAAAGGTTTCAGTATAGTATAGTAGTTTCTGCTGTAACGCAAACATTTCCCAAATTGGGATCAATAAAGTACTTCTTATCTTATGAGTACATGTACTTCACTGTATACAGTCGTGGTGAGTTCAGGGTCTCCAGCAAAACATTAAATACCCTTCTCTCAGTATTTCAACATGTTGTATGCAGAGGTGGGAGAATTACAAACCAGCAAAAATATTTAAATACTCAAGTAAAGTACCTCAAAATTGTTCAGTACAGTAAATGTACTACACTGTATACAGTCGTGGTGAGTTCAGGGTCTCCTCTGTTGGCAGATACTTCGCCTCCTGATGGGCAAGGTGGTGATCGGACACGCCATCCACAACGACTTCAAGGTGCTGGGCTACGCGCACCCCGGGGTACTGACCAGAGACACGTCCCGCATCCCGCTCCTCAACCGGAGGGCCGGCTTCGCCCCCAACGAGGTCGCCTCGCTGAAGAGACTCACCAAGGCCATCTTCAACAGAGACATCCAGGTACCAGCAGCGCTAGGCCTTCTCTATCTGGGTTTTCTATTGTTGGTTTCAAGGCTTTTATGGTCATGTATGCAAAGCTACAGTGTAGATATGCTAATGGACATCTGAGGTCACAGGCTCCTCCCACAGAGCAACACAGATACAATAGTGCATGTAAATAAAATACACTTGAATATAATAGAAACAGAATATGATAGAAACTGTGCAGAATAGTGTATACAGTAATTGGATTATTGATATGATATATGTGAGTTGCAAACAGATTTACTTTTATGTATGCACCACGACACCAAGTCAAACTCCTCGTACGTGTCAACCCACCTGGTGATAAACCTGATTCTGATTAAGAAACATATTATAAAAGGGCATTTAAAAACACTCATTTAAAAGCAAAGGTACATGAATTAAAGTCGCAGTGTGAGATACACAATCTGAAATGTTTAGCTCTGACTCAATCATTGCTCACTTTTTAGCAGAAATAGTTTTCTTTCACCTCCCTTTCTTTCTACTTTCTTGTTTAACTTATCCTTTAGTTATTTCCAGTGTTTCATGCTAAACCAACCCCTCTTTGGAACATTCTAATCTGCAACCCAATATTCCCAATATTCAACGGGCACAAGTCAGCGGTTCCCAACCTTTCCCACTCAGGGCCCACTTAAGAATACAAAAAAAAAATCCGCGACCCACATTCAACCATAAACAATACGGAGGCTAAATAAAGTTCTGATTGGTCGATTCAGCACATGTGACACGTTGTAAATCCAGTAGTACAGACCGCTGTCAAGCACTGTAATGACCGTTGCTAAGGAGGATCGAGAAAGAGAAAGGAAAGGAGGTTCAAATAAAACAAATATTCTTAATGATGAAATGTTTCCACACAAATCATAATGTTTTGCAAATTATTTGGCGGACCACTTGCAATGCGTTCCACAGGTTGGGAACGGCTGGCGTCAGTAATGTTTGTCATTTATAAGTGGAAAGCAAAAGATATGCATACAAATGAGACGACGGTCTGTACTGATTGTATGTACAAAGAGAAAAGAGAACTACAAAGAACATAAACAATTACAACGACTAGAGTAATGTGCTATATAAATAAACCAGTGGCGAACCGTGTCTATCACAACTGGACCTTCTGTACACACACACACACACACACACACACCACACACACACACACACACACACACACACACACACACACACACACACACACACACACACACACCCGCCGCCACTACCGGGCCTTCTAGAATACCCTGGAACCGAGGGAAACTCTGAAAGAATACGCCCATTGGCTACAAATCAATATATGATTGGTTGATCAAACTGTCAGTCCAAACGTACGTTTTTTTTTCCTAGCACAAAACCACTGAAATGCGTAGTGCATGGTCTGAGAAGGACAAACAAATCAACATAACACTGTAATATTACAGATCAACAACACAGATACGATTCTCATTTATTCATTTTATTTATATAATTGAATCCATTTTTTGTTTGTTTTATCTGAGTGTTCCAGGGTATTCTCTGAATACCTTGAAGGCCCTGACGGTTCGCCACTGAAATAAACGTACCTTACATGTAGGGTTGGGAACCGAAACTCGGTTCCAGATGAGAACCGATAAGAAAATGCCGGGTACCCATACAAAATACACAATTTCGGTTCTGCTTAACGGTTCCTAAATGCGGTAGACCCTGTATTCCACCGGGTCCGTCTGCGCCGCGGCGACCCGGTGGAATGCAGCCAGTGTAAGGGAGGACTGGCCATCTGTGTGTTCTGGAGAATCACAGAACGGCCGGTCGTCAGCGGGCCGCTGACGGCCGGCTCGGTTTGCTGACGGCCGGCACCGCCCTTAATTTAACTTAAACGGCATCATGTAAGTTGCGGTGACAGAGGTCCACAGTTTCCCCGCAGCGAGGCTCCCCCGCCCTCCCGTAGACAGTTCACGAGCTCAGTCACTTCATAACACCAAAGATGGGTTGTGGTAAACGCTCTGAAGTGAGGCTCCACTACACTAAAAAAGAAAAAGACAAGGCACAGTGTAAAGCCTGTTAATAGCTTGCCACAGGCATAGCTCAGTTCAAATAAAGCACAGCTATTGTGCAATACATTTGTATTGCATGTATATTTTTTATTTGTAAAAATGTCAGTTAAAGCTTAAAAGAATAAAGATATTTTTGTTATCTAAACGTTTGACCTCTTTCTTTTACAATTTTGGAATCGATAAGAACCGGAATCGATAAGAACCGGAATCGATAAGCAGAATCGGAACCGGAATCTATACATTTCAAACGATACCCACCCCTACTTACATGTATGTGTGACGGTAAAGTGTCTCTCTCTGCGTCCTCAGACTGGGAGGAAGGGCCACTCCTCGGTGGAGGACGCCCGGGCCACCATGCAGCTCTACAGAGTGGTGGAGGAGCAGTGGGAGAGGACTCTGGCCTCAAAAGCTCAGAACACCTAGTGCCAGCTTTCAAGAGACCACATGGAAATAAAAGCGGGTTTAAATTGGACTTTTTTTTGGTGTGTTTTGGATGGACTCACCCCCCTGCTGTCCTGGTGACGTGTGAATGAAGAAACCAGGTTCCTGACCTCCAGCTGGATTCTGATATCATGGGAGATAAAAGCCTTCAGTTTCAGCTGCTCCTTCTCAGGGTTTGCATTGTGTCTTAAGGTGCTCCTGCCACTAGGGGGCAGTCATGTTTTCATCCAGGCAACAGCAGTGCATACATGCTCACAAACATGATAAAAAAAATATTATTTTCTACAAGGTAAGTGAGTTCAACTCAGAGTCATGCCTACACCTCTGTGGTCTTCATCTGTTTCCTTTATGATATTCATAACTATTTAAAATCTGACTATTGCCCCTTTAAAAGTCAATTAAAAAAGAACTAAATTATGCTTGAGTTGATATCAAACACAACGTCGGACAACATTGCCACTAAAATAACTCCCATGTCAGTGTTTTTAAATTGCTTTAATTACGCTTAAGTGGATATCAAAGACAATTCTCACTTTTAAAATGTTTCTTCTAAATTATTTTTAGGTGGAGATCAACATCAATTTAAAGTCTGACAACATCGCCAATAAAAAAAGCTCAAGTTTAATATAAAAAATATCTTAATTACGCTTGAGAAGATATCAAACACAATATAACATCTGACAATATTACCACAAAAAAAACAAATGTACTTTTTGCACTCATACTTTTCAGTCTTGATGCAACCAATGATTTTTCTTCAGGGAAGTTTTTTGAAATACTGGAAGCATGGCGGTCTAGAGAGAAGACACTGTTACAAAAAAGTAGTTGGTGAAGAATTTTACCTAAAAAAAAAGAAAAAAAAAAAGATCATTTTTATTATCGATATGTGAAAAATATACATTCATTTTGTTCAGTTTTGATGCAAACAATGTTCTTCATGTAGTCAGACTTGGTTTTAGAAGGTGGCTCTCACTATTTCACTCTTAAAATGTGACTGATTGTTTTAAAAATGTTTTAAAAAAACTCTCTGTTAGGAAAAACTGCAAGTATGGACAGTTAGACAGAAGGCACTGTTAAAGTAGTTGGTAGAGTATATTGCCAAAAAACATTATTGTATAAAAACGTGAAGATTACACAGAGTGAGAATGTTGATTCAGTCCCTGGTTATTCTCATAGCCGAGCCTTTAACATCCAATTTCCCCAAAAATCTAAAGTAACATGGAAACCTCCATTTCATGACTTTATTTAAATACTTCATTAGATCCTTTCTTGTTCAGAAATCTCTCCGATCAGTGACTGTAAAAGGTATTTGGGAATATGGAAGTTTGTGTTGGAGTTCGTCGTACTGTTTCCTATGCAACGTCAGACGGGTTCCGATGTCTGCTGTAGATTCAGATTGGTGCTCAACTTCAATAAATCATTTCCACAATCATTTCCATGTGTTAGAATATTTACTGTAACAAAGACAACGATCATCATCTGCATTTTTACATTTTAAAGGGGACCTATCATGCAAAATGCACTTTTGTATGTCTTTTATACATGAATGTGTCCCCGGTGTTCCGGGGAACTCACCAAGTGTCAGAAATCACAACCCTCTCTCTTTTCCTCCATACCCAAATCTCTAAAAATGGGGCTGCAACGGATCTGATACAGACTGATCCAGATTTGAAAGTTCTCTGACGTCAGGAACGAGGAGGTCCGCCTATATAGGCAACTCTCCACCTATCAGGGGAATGTGGGGTTGGGCCACGGCCGGCCATTGCCGTTAGAAAGCGCCGGAGACGCTGTAGTACATATGCCAGGCCTGTAAGTGGTGCTGTAGTATGCAGCGAAGAAGGCTTCCCGCGCATGGTTGCCATGGTTGCCCTTCTGTTTATTCTCCGCTGTGGCTCTTTTTCTCCCTCCCCGAGGCAAGCGTTTGCTCCCGCTGCTGTAATTCAATGCAATCCCTCCCCGTCGAGGCCAGCGCTGTAATTATCTCCGGTAGTCCACCAGCAGATGACAAACACCCACCTCTCCGCCTCTTCCAAGGGACGAGGGGACCGTGCTGCAGAGTTTCAGTTTTTTTTTTTTTCGCCGGCCAACATGTCCGTTAAAGTTGAAATCTTCCGGACAAAATTAGAAAAGTGCCGGTCAAAGGTCTTCTTTGTTATTTATTGAGCTTTAAAACAAATGAATAATGACTCTATATAATCATATAAGAATAAAACACGGAGGACGGAGATCTATTTTTCTCCCCCTCTTCTCCCCGCTGCAGCCTAGCAGCTGATCTCAGAGCACGCTCCCCTCTCCTGCAGGGGGTGCAGCTCACAGAATCAGCCCCCTGCAAAAACAGGGCTGGAAAGAGCCAATGGAGCGAAATGAGGCATGGCTAAAATGCAGGATCTGTTTGGTATTTTGAAAAAAAAACTATATTTATATAGGTATGGCCCTACAATATATTGTTCAAATATAGCATGATAGGTCCACTTTAAGTCAGATATTCTTGTTTTTTAAAAGGGAAGTTTGTCATTCCTGCAGCTAGGGGTCTCTCGATCAACAACCAAATACGGGTTTGACAACGTCGTGAAGCAGCGTGGGATCATGGGAGTTGTTGTAACTTGTGTGTTGCTGGTTGTCACGCCCTGGCTCAAGGACGGACAAAAGAAGGAGACCACACATCCTTCATATCCAATTAAAGTATATTTATTTCAAGAAACTGAGTTAATTATGAAGTCAGTAAATCAGTAATGTGTGTAGTGTGTGAACATGTATCAGTATTTATTACATGGCTTAGTTGAATACTCGATTCTGATTGGTCAATTCAGAACACGTGACACGTTGTTAATACCGAACAGACAGACCGCTGTCAAGGACTTATTGACCGTTGTTAAGGACGCTCACATCTTCAGAAAGAAGTCCGGTCGATTTAACTGTATACCGTTGGGCCGAAAAGCAAACTGCATGCAGTTTGCTTTTCGAACTGGGACATGAAAAACAGCGCAGAAGTAACGGGCAGAAACCCTCCTTTTTACGCAGCGGTCCAGACATAGACATCAGACGGCGACACATATTCAGTGTGCAGTTCCTTTGGCATTAGGGCAGGGATATCTAGATACTTCCCAAGGTTTGACATAATGAATTGTGCTACTTTTAAAGCAAGCAGCGATGTTTTCAAATCTGTAATCAAAAAGCTCCTCAAAAACGCAAGCAGTTCCTGCCGTTGGCTTTTCAAACTGACAAGAGACGCTCTAACTGTTTTTCAAATGTAACAGTTTGAAAAGCAAGCAAACTGTCTGATTGTCTTTAGTTTCCCGCTGTCGTGTGATAGCAACATGGAGGATTTTAACATTACTTTTAATATATTTGGAGAGCACAGTAATTTGGAGGAATGGTTAGTGGCTGATGAGTCCCCCAGTGAAGAAAAGAAAAAGACAAGAGGGACAAGAAAACAGCGGAGAAGTAACGGGCAGAAACCCTCCTTTTTACGCAGCGGTCCAGACATAGACATCAGACGGCGACACATATTCAGTGTGCAGTTCCTTTGGCATCAGGGCAGGGATATCTAGATACTTCCCAAGGTCTGACATCATGAATTGTGCTACTTTTAAAGCAAGCAGCGATGTTTTCAAATCTGTAATCAAAAAGCTCCTCAAAAACGCTATCGAAGCAGTTCCTGCCGTTGCTACGTTAGTTCAAACGGTAACAACGGACTATTTTTCTTAGCGGATGCATGTCAATTTAAATCAATACAACTATTTTTTAAATCAATAAAATAATTTTCTAAATCCATAAAAGCATTTCAATTAATATTGGGAGTCATGATGTTACTTTGTTGAGAATGTGGCCATGTAATAAGCGGGATAATATGCAGCAACTTGGTCATTATGGGGAAAAGAACACCTTCATGCCGATCTAGATCCCTCCGCTTCGCGTCGGGCTCCTGATCAGCCTGTCGGTGTTCTTTTCCCCATAATGACCGCGTTGCTGCACATTATCCCTTACATAAAACAAAGACAAACAAACCAAGGTCCAGTAGAGCCAAGCAACCCAAGAGGAGAGAGTGGGTGTTTCTCAATGTCGAGGAAGGCTGCTCCAGAGCCACTATTCCAAGGATGCTACGTCAACGAGTGCCGCCGAAGGACTGTTCCAATGTCCAGGATCCTTGGAATTCTACCGAGCCCGGCGTACTTCGTTGCGGGAAAATTTCGAGGCTGCACGTGTAGACTCTGCGGTCTTAAAATCCTCACAATGCTTTGCGCACGTACCAATTTCCAAAATCTTTGGCGGAAAATGTAAGGCGGGACCTCGCTTCTTAAGGAACTCACTCGGAGGTACATGTGCTACCAAGCAAGCCTCCTCGACAATGAGAAACACCCAGAGAGACTGACTGCTCAGGCACCCATACTTGTAGCTGAGCAGAATCAGCTAGGTGTCAGCAATCTCTCCTGATTGGGGGAGTGGCTAACCAGGGACTTGAGTCCAAGCAGGCCTAGGGGCCGTCACACCTCCCCCCTTAAGAATGAGGTATCACCTCAGATCCTGAAACAAAAGAAGAACATTAGACACATTTCTTCCAATTCATAACTCCGAGTAGCACGTTTAAGAGCACATACAAACTGCATTATAAGTGACACTAGGCAAAAAAGGAACTATGGAAACGGCACATGAGGTGACTACTGAAATGTGCACAAAACCTGCAATCGTTAAAGGCTATCCCCAGGAAAAGCAACTACTGCTGCTTAGTGGACGAAACAGGGAATGCCTGTATGGTCAAAACTTAAATGAGAATGGGACGAAGCGCCCCTTGCCTGCCCCACCTTACCCAAAGAGGTTACTGTAGCTCTCTTTGGCATACTTCTGTGTGTTACAAATGTTGCACTCTGACCTTCTAGCCCAATTGACATTGCCATATGTGTTGCACTTCCAATCATTTACACTGAAGAGACCCCTGCTCCTCCCAGCCAGAGTTTTCCAACTATCTGTTCCTCCAGCTTTCATCATTTTCTTCCTGCCACATGTGTAACAACTGCTTCTTCTAGCAAAGTTCATCATTCCACACTTCAGAGCAAACCCAGTCCTCGCCTCTAACATGAAAACTCTTTCCTGCAATGTTTATTTTGTTACCACTGATTGGCTTTGCCTGATCTGGCCAAACACGACCACCTGCCAGGTCATTTCCCAACATGATGTCCACTCCAGTCACGGGCAACTCTGGACGAACACCAACCTCCACTTCTCTCTGGACCAAATCACAGGACAGAACAGTTTATGCTCAGGCACAGAAATGGTTTGCAGACCAATCCCTCTGACTGGAACACAGCGCCCCATGTCTGAATCTGGAGAAAAAGGCAAGATGGCCTCCCTCACAAAAGTATTCAAAGCTCCTGAGTCCCTCAAAATCCTGACTTGAACTTTCTTGTCACTCCCAACTAGAGTTACAAAACCGTCAGACATAAATGGATCATAACCCGACTCAACCTCTGAGATATCAATTGGCTTACCCTGCATTTGCAATGGAGCCAAGACTTCTGTTTCACCAACTTTGGGATTATGAATAGTTGTAGCCAAACCAACTGACTTCACATGAAAAGTGTTGCTTTTCCCCTCTAGCAAAGGACATTCTTTTTTCCAACTGTTGATGGCAATAATGACACACATTTGCATTGCGTGTGCCATTAGGATGCTTTGGGGACAAATAATCTGCTTTCTGGGATTCATTCCTATCATAGCGCTCACCAAAGATGCGCTTGGACATGTGACTTTATGTTCATTAATATATGTTGCAATGTTCTCAGGGACAGACTGTTTCAACTGCTCCAGAATGATCACATAACTGATCCATGGTTTTTACACCAGAAGCAGAGTACCAGCGCTTGAAATGCAAGATCAAATCCCATGCAAATTCCACATGTGTTTTGTTACCACTCTTTCGCCAGTCTCTAAAACGTTGGCGGTACGCTTCAGGCACCAACTCATAAGCCTTCAAAACAGCTGTATCGTACTCTTTACAGGCGTCAGAAGATACAGCGGAGTAGGCTTCTTGTGCTTTACCTGTAAACACACACTGCAACACAAAAGTTCTGTCCTCATCAGGCCAGCCCCTTGAATCAGCGCTCAAACAGACAAAAAAAAGTGTCTACATCATGTTCGTCACATTTTGGCAGCAACAGTAAATGACTTGCAACATCAAAGCGTGAACTTACAAGTTCCTCATTCAAAGCCGATGCAGACATTTTACCTGCCCTAATCAAAGCCAGTTTTTTCAGTTCCAAATCCAGTTTAATTTGTTCCAATCTCAAAATCAACAATTCTTTCTGTTGTTCAAAAGTTAAGCCAAAATTAGTTGCAATGCTCTTACCTCCCCTGTCCATCCGTACTGCACAGTCTAGCAAATGAGCCTTTATAACACTTGTCAGGGTTTCCTTTGTTTGTTTGGAATCAACATCAAC